CCCCCGGTATCGCGCACACACCCAGCAAATCTTTTGTAGTGTTCTCGCCGCTTCAAACTGCAATTATCATCGATCATCATTGAGAACACGTCGTAATCATTCAAACCTGACATATACATAGCGCGCTCCAATCACCCATCGATTCCCGCAACATGTGGCACGTGAGGCGGGCGCGGCAGGCCTATTTGGTACAATTTCCCTCACCCCAAGGTTTCGAGTATATTCCCGTCGCACCCTGAATTACAGTACTGATTGACGATGTGAGCTCGAGGATCAGCTGCGATAAAAAAATATAACAAAAATTGTTATTAAAAAGGCTGAATTTAGGGCAGAGCGTACGGTTTAGAGCACGTTTTCTATCGAATCCATGTCGGAAGCCGACTAGTGAAGTTGAAAATGCTCACATCTTCAATCTACAAATGAGCCGGTACTGTCGGGGCCAATTCGTCCCCAAACTCATCGCCAAACGAAATCCGTCTATTTTCATCTCTCTTGTTTATCACGCTCCGATAAACTCCTTTCAACTGAGTTGCGCTTCCCGTCAGGGCGACCGATACCACGCACTATGTTTATTCCAAGAATCCGTTCCTCTGCCTTCGGCATTCGCCGGCCTGAGCGGCTCTTTCTAGTGGGTGCATTCAGGCTCCACATACATTGTTTCCACCGTCCGACCGAAGGCGAGATCCCTGGCCGGTGGAAACGCGCCTGGGTGAAGAAAAGGTCCCAGTGGCTACCCCATTACGCTTCTGAGCAGCATGGCCGCATGCGCTTCGCACTTCACCACAGGGATCTATACAAGATTCGTACTACTCTTTCTGTAGCCTGGAACTAGGAGCATGACCTGACCGTGAATCTCGCAAGATGCGAGTGAGGGGCGGAACACGGTCATCGCATCAGTGAAAGGGAATACTAAGAAAGTATGATATAGACATAGAGTACAAACATTGTCGTAAGACCACCCTGAAGAACTTGAGGTTCACTGTAAGCTTGGAGCTGATCGTTTACACCTCAAAGATCAGAATCGGAATCGTCCAGTGACTTGGGCTCGGTTACATCGAATGGTTCGCTGAAGACTGTCAAGATTCAAGTTTTCTTAGACCAAATCAAATAATCTTGACATCAGCCTTTCAGCCCAGTACAGAAGCTAAAGTGAACTTTGTATACGGTGGTGCAAGGGGAATGGCATATCTGCAAAGCAAAGAAATCATACATCGGTAGGAATAAAACTTGATACATCGTAATTCCACTTCCGACTATGATGAATTCTTTTTACAGTGATATAGCTGCTCGAAACTGCCTCCTAGGCGAAAAAGACGAAGTCAAAATATCTGATTTCGGCCTGTCTTTTATTGGAAAAACATTGAGGGAAAAGAAATTGAAGAAAGTTCCACTCAGGTAGAGAAATCTATTGGTCCTAGGGTCTGTAGGATAACTAATAACTAACTAATAACCGATAGGTTTGATGTCCTTGCATAAGCATCCCTACGAAGGAAGTTACTGTCATACGCATGGTCCAGAGATCGGATCCTGTCTTAATATTGGTCTAGGCCAACCAGACCTGTCATGCCTTCAGGGTCGGTCTATTGGTCCGAGACCCGTCTGAGAGGATGGGAGCACTGACTTTTACGACGGCCAGCCACCGCAAGTCATTGAATAGGCCACATACACATTTAAAGGCACAGTTCACGATAACTCTGAAGTACCCTTTTTAGGTTGAGAAGCGGAAATTTGATGTAGAGTACATCGGCGACAAAGATAGCAAGAAAAACCGCATACTTCAATGCTTTTCAAAAGTAGTGGAAATGAGGTTGTACGAGATCACCGTGACGGTAATGACATGTAAGGGGTGTTTGGACGAGATTTAACTCGCTCCCATGCGCAAAGAGATGACTACGTCAAGCCGAATTTGCCCAAGACTGCGTTTCACTATCGCCATGGGTTAGCCATGGGTTATGACAAGTTGTTTGAATTTCCTACATGGGAGCCTCTGATTGTGAGGTGGTGCAGCCTCTACAAACCCTTCAAAACTCGTCCATCAATGGTGCGGCATTCACACGATACAATCCCTGGCCCCTTATTGTGCCCTTTTAAGGACGTTTATCGACCTCATAAGGGCAGGTATGGTGTAAGGGAGAGCCTCGAATTCGTACTATAGGGAAATTCCAAAAACCATTTTTATCGTGAACTGTGCCTCTAAAGCACACTTCGATTCTGAATGGAAGTCAAGTTTATGGCGCATTCCAAGCGAGACTGGTCACGGCAAAACACTCTAGCTCCCAGCACCCTCTACACTAAACCCATGAGCAGAACGAATCACAAAGTTAGGCAGTTCAGCCGTGCGCGCCAGTGGGAATCTATTCCATGGGGTGTTCCTTCCCTCCTTACCCAGGGCATTGTGTAGGTAATCCCGAGAGTTCTTCATCAGTATTTTAAGCAAGACGGTAGAGCACATTATCTTTTTTNTTTTTTGGATGATCTCCTAAACAAACCTAATTTACAGATGGCTGTCACCAGAGACGTTAAAAAGAGGAGTGTACAACACGAAAACTGATGTCTATAGTTTCTCGATTATGATCTGGGAAATATTCTCATTTGGGCAAATACCTTTTTACAAATATGAAAACCATGAATTAAGAGTTTTAATAAAGGAGAAAAAGGTATGCCACTCTATCATCACTGTTGTTATTTGAACGTGGATTAATGGGTGGTACCACTCTGTTCAGGCAACTTTGCCAACATGTCTCTCTGAGATACCGGACGATATGAATGAATTACGGCTGAGATGTATGCATCCAGATCCAGATGTAAGGCCAGATTTTCATGAACTGGAATCTATAATAGCTCAGGTAAGCTCCTCTCGGAGAAAGTGACCCTCTTCTCCATTCTAAGCAGAGAGAGTGGGGTACATTTCGTGGAGATGTCACGTCTTACACGCTTCAGCCGAATGATAGAATCACCCTTGTGTCAGTAGAATCGTCAAGGGTTATTGATCTAAGCTTTTAATAGAGGACTAACCTGAAGCTAGTATCATGCGTTGGAAGGGACCCCTCACTACGATAGGGGCATGGCCAAAGAAGTAAAAAAAAGCCTATTATTTGGCATGAACCCAATACGCGACGATTCTTAGCTAATTGTCCCACAACGGACCGTTTCGTAATGGCTAGCTGCCTCGTGGCGATTTCGCGAGTTGAACTCCTTTCACCGGTACAATAACAAATGGTGTAAAACTGTTCTGAAGCAGAGCTACTGATACTACTGTCTACCAATGGGAAGGGAGCTGGTATGGGGAAGCATCTGTAGGGATGCCTTTTGCAAAAAAAAAATCGTTGTAGGCAAAGAATTTCCCTGAAGGCTTAACAGATCTGGAAATCGTGTAAGGGCCTCTACAGAACGAGTCTGTATTAACCAGAGAATGCAAGTTCAATGGTCACTCAGTGCGCCGTCGAGTCTCTTCATGAGAACCCAAAACGAGCCAACTGATTTTCAGAAAACTTTCAATTCAGATGCCTGGAGTAAGAAAACCACAGCCACCCTCATTTCTCAGTCGAATATCCACGGCTATCAGTGATTACATCTATGGCAGAGTTTATACGTGATATTCCTTATGGTCATATAGAAGACGTCAAAAAAGAACATCATTTCATCTTACTCATTTACTACTTATCGACAATTACAACATAATACCCTTTAAACTAGCTAATCCTCTACTCATCACGTCAATTGTCCACATGAACGAAATATTATAAATGATTAATACCCGATATTCATGAACACATATCAACAGACAGTATGGAAACTCAAGAAGCAGCTTTTCTTCCTTCGACTCAACAAAATACACGTGACTCCTTCCCTATGGGACGTTCCCATCCCTTCTTCGCTAGTGAGCCTACACTTTTTGCACCGGTTCAAATGCGCACTTGATTACAACACTCCATAAAACTGCTGATCATGCCACTTTCTCGCAAAATGTTCAGCAACAAAGAAAATGAGAAGGATAAACAGTAAAAACTGGTGTGGAGCAACCTCTTTTTCCGGTGGATGCGCTCCGCATCTGACTTTCATTCAGAATCGCAATGGCGTTTTGAATGCGTATGCTGCCTACACAAATAATTGGATGGCCAGCTGATGTACAAATCAGTGTTTTTATCTCATCAGACGGACCTGATACTGCTGAACTGACCTCGAAGAAATGAAAAACTGGTTGGTTAAGGCAGGTGCCGATCTGGGATTCGATGCACAGACCATGTGCATTATGTTGCGCCAGTTGCCACTATACCACCTCCCTTACCTTTACCCTAAGTTTTTGCTGCCCTGTTTGTTGTTTTTTTTACATCTGGGTAAGGAGCAAAGATGGAACAGTGCCATGTGTCGCTGCTACCACCCACACACGTCCAGGAGGATAAACCACGCAGAAGCAATGACTTCAACTCAAAAATTCCTAAGAAGACAATAAAGCGAACGCTTCCAAATGCTAAGAGCTTAGCAAAAACAATTGAATGGGAGATTGTCGAAGGAATATTCGGCGTCAGCCGCATCACCCTTTTGTAGAAGTTGACTTTTTGAATTACTTTCTGTTTCATTTCCATGTGTACAACAATGAATTATTAAAAATATATTACACTATAGCTTTTCAAAAGCATAACAATCTATACGACAAAATACATACAAATGATGAGAAAACTCATCCAAATCACACCGACTATGAATTAGACTGAAAAACAGCAAAGCAAGGGCGGCTAAAAAGCGAGGGCCAAGACATGAACATGGGAGTAGGGAAAGGGAGGTCTAGGCTGAAACACATTTTACACCCTGCTCGGATAATTTTGGTAGTTCGGCACAAATAATAATCGATGAACCTATAGACATGAGCAGAACAAAAGAACACACAAATAATGCATGAAGGGTATAGATCAGATCAATCGAAGGATTAGTGCAGAAAAACTCGTATTGTCTCAACAGTATTTCAGGCGAAGCAAATGATTGGTCTCAAACGAATCCATATATCACATGATGAACAAAAAATACCCGTTATTAAGCACCCCAGCCATGAAGTATAAAGAAAATCGTGGAAAGCGACTGATGTATGCAGGCAAGAATTGGGAAAATCCAATCAAATTACTGCTGACGGTACTATACCATACATATCTGAGTAGATCTGGGAACCATCGTCTCCACTACCTGGCAAGCTTGCCAGTCGTGCAGGCAGGGCACTGTGCAGTAATTGCCAGAACAGATGATCCTTCTGACGGATACAGGTGTTTTTCCTCAGAATTTGGCCGAGTTCCTCATCTAGTAGGTTCTGGTCGACTCCCTCTCCCAATATCGCAATGACACGTTTGCCTCGATTCTTGGCGAACAGCTGATGCGATGTCTGAAGAGGTACTTCTAATATTTTCAAGTCCGTTCTTAAGTGAAAGAAAACGTTTGGGAAGCTAAGAGGTTTCCTACCTTCACTTGCAGAGTTTTCCATTCGCTTTCCAGGAAATTCTTCGTCAGCACAATGACTAGACACTGAGCGGCATCCATCTGCGAGATTAGCTCATCTGATATGGCATGGAGCCGAGAATTGTAGGCTGGGCCATCACGATGCAACAGACACAACGCATATTCTTCGTCTTCCAGAGGCCTGAAGAAAGGAAGGATTAGTGAGTCACGGCGATTAGAAATTAGCTGTTAGAAAACCGATTAGAGACACAGTTTTGAGGTACCCTCTATAAGTCAAAAAGTGGAAGTATTGGTTGGGTATATTGTATCAGTGGTGGAGGAAAAGAGGAAATTCGCCGAGTTCGTGTAAAATAAGACTCTTCAAAGTTGTGAAAATAGAGGTTGTACGAGATTGCCATGACGGAAATGAAATGGAAAGTGTATTTGGACGAGATTTCCGTTTTTGCAATTGCGCAAAGAGCTGACTACAACGAGCGAAAACTGTCCAGAATTGCTTTCCACTGTCATTAAGGGTCATGACAAGTCAATTGAACTCCCTACATGGGTTCCCTTGTGAATGGCGCAGTTTCCATAATGCCGTTGTAACTCGTCCGCGCATACACATGGGACAATCTTTGAGCCTTTATAGCGCCTTATCCAAGCAGCTTTCCTAGCTGACCTGGCCATGTACGCTATACGAAAGGGCCACAGCTTTACCCTAGCGAGATATCTCATAAGCCGTTTTTATCGTGAACTGTACCTTTAAACTGCACACTCCTTCGTCTGATTCCTCCTCCTACCCCTTTACATCCATTTGACAGAAAAAAATCCGTGATAAATGCAGTTGGGAAAAGGCTTATTGTATTTTTTCTACTACTTTTGCGATTACCGTTGCCATTCTTCTACAACTTCCTATCACCACAACCAACTTATCTACCACTCAGAATGAGAAATATGTCTAGCTAATCCTCAAGTCGCGTTGAAATTGGATTATACTTACCGGCAAAGCTGTTCCAACACCATTTTCTCGTCTTTCTTCGAATAGCTCACAAAAGCATCAAAATTCAATAATGGAACAGGCAATGGTGAAGACCCTGGTGTTGACGAGCAATTTAGAGACGAAGACGCTTTGTATCTGTAAAACAGTGGCAGATGTACTCACTGCTCAATCAGAAATTCAATTTCAAACAAAACATGACCAACCTCCTTTGACTCATATCATTATGCGCTTTCCTGACCAACGAAACACCAAGAAATGTCATCGCGCAAAGCAGAAAAACACAGGAAGTCAGGAAAATCACTGTCAATATCGAATTTTGTGGTTCTTGCCCGAAAAATCCTGATGAAACTGGTACGCAGATAGTGCGGTTGTAATCACGGAGGAACTCTATAATTTGAGCGTTGGCATACTCCCTCATGGGATATCATCGAAAGAACCTACCATCCATAGTCATTGTAAAAATGTCGTTCCCTAGATTTGGTGGGTAAGCGGAAAGAACGGTGGTGTCGTTGTTCCGGAATGCTTCAGTGATATTCTCTACACAGCGTACACGATCCATGTCTACAACTTTGGCACGATTCTGGTGAATCCACGAAGGAGCCGCAAATCGTGGGCTGCAATCACAACGGAACGCATTTCCTGACAACGATAATGACCGTACTCCAGATGTCATTAGCGGCTGCGACAGGTCACTGAGATCATTGTTGTGCAGAGTCATCTGAAAACAGAGAATTCAATGCTCAGCACTACAGCCTTGTGGAAAAAATAGATAAGAATTTACAAAAATCAACTTCTAAACAGGTTGGAAAAGGCAATATTTCACGTAATGACCCATTAAAGCATCTTCAATGAAAATGACTTCCGCAAAATATTCACTTATTGAAGCCAGCCGAGTATTATGTCAATGTCTTCGCTCTTTTAAACAGTGGCCGTCCCACTGGGTCGATCGACCTACCGTGGAAACCAGCGCTTATCTGGGAGATGCTTACTACGCTGTAAAAGCTCAATCGATCACAAATACGCAGCGTATTGCTTCTTGTGAAAAAATAGAGACCACCAAAAATACAAGAACTTTTAGCATCTAAAAATCTAACCCACATCTGGTATTGGATGCAAAGTTAACGTAGAAGTCAGTTCCTGGAGAAAAGTAGAACGTGGGTTGGAAAACAGGAGAAACACAGAGGGAAATTACTTTCGCTGTCTACCAGTTAACTCGACAGCTGGATAAGGTTTTTTAGGTTTGATAAATGAACCACTGAACAACAAGGAAGAACAGGAAGAATGAGGCTACTTTTATATGCTCAGTTTAAAATCATATTTGGAAAATTCAAATTCGAACTCACTGTAGTAAGAGCTGGCAGCTTCTCCATTAATCCTCGTTCGATCGTTTTCAATCGATTTCCATTGAGGAAAAGGTGGGAAATAGCGGCACTCTTATGGAATTCATCTCCAGTTAGCTGGACTATAGCGTTGTCTGATAGGTCAAGCAACTGAAAGTCTTTCGATGAGATTGAAAAAAAAATGTAAAAGGATTAGGAAAGCTCCCAAGGAAAAGGGAAGTGTGGGAAGTAAAATAAAAGTTTAGCGAAAACCAACCTTAAGTTTTGGAAGGGTATTGAACGCTTTCGGTTGGATACCACGAATGCCGGAAGCGTTGATGTACAGAAGCTCAAGACGTGGTCTACCCAGGAACGAATGACTTCTCAGAACGGGTAACGAAAGCCCAGACAGGTACACATGGGTGGCTGAGATTGGCACCGCTGCCGGCGTGAAAACCTGTAAAATCGGCTTTCGGTGGTCACCCCAAGTACACGAATACGTACAGCATAAAAGAATAACGTTTCACAGATGGTTCCGAAGGATCCCCGAGCTAATACTTTTATGAAAATTGTTCCTGAGGACGCAAACCATAGCAAAATCTTAACAGTATCGAAAAATGCCTCATTGACCTACCTTCATCTCGGATTCAGTAAGATTTTCGCATCGCACGACGTTTGTCTCAAATAGAGCATCTCGAAAGCATGCACATCCAGCTGGACAGACGGCTTTGCAGTCACAATTTCCGAATTGGCAGCAAACACATTCGGGTTCGCAAACCTTCAAAAAATGCTTATTACTAGTAATAATGGGGCAGAACGGAGTGATGACGTTGAACTTTCAATGGGAAAGAAGCGAAAGTGGAAGATGGAGACCTACTTGAGTGTAATTACAGAGAAGATCCTTTGTGTCCACGGCATCTAACGCAATCACCTTACTTGTTACAGGATGCATGCAAAGGGTTTCCGACATACCGATGAGATTAACTTTCCTCTTCACCTGAATTAGTTCAATGTTTGAGTTTTTTTAAACAAAAAAATGAGCTATAGAAGGGTTTATGAAAGTTATCGTACGAACTCACCACCTCAGGCTTTTTTATCCAGTGAAATTCACAGCTGCAACGCAGTGGATTGCCCTGAAGGCTCACATCAATGCTGTGCACTCCCTCGGCAACAACCGATTCCTCCGAAAGCTCTGCCAGATGATTATCTCTGAGATCCAGAGTTCGCAATGCAGTTTTTGCTGCAAACGTTGATGGAGCTACGTGTTGGATGCGATTTGCGGATAGGTCCAACGTCTCGACAGTATCCGGAACCTGATCAGCTGATAGCTGCTCAATTCGATTTCCTCGCAACGATACTGTCCGGACCCTAAAGTTTAAAATGCTGACTTACATAAATGATCAGTTTACTATCGTATGGGCGTAAAAGTGAACCGGGCAACTACAGAAACGACTAGGATAACCAAACAGAACCCTACAAAAAATTGGAAAAAAATAGGAAAATAGAAAAACAGTCAAAGAAACACGCTAAGAGAGAGCGCTGTGGAAGATTCAAGGACAAGATGACTGAGTTAGGATGTAAACCAAGAACTTTTTAAACTTATAAACCCTCTCCTACAGGAAATCAAATAAGGATAAAAAGGAAGCAAAGAAACTTCTACATATCTTTTTGGAAGTTCCGCTAATCATAAGTAATTTTTGAGATACAAATGAGATGCTTACTTGGATTTCATAGCCGCTCCCAAAAGAGTGATAACATTGGAGTCCGCAATGAGATGATCCAGTCGAGGGGGAAGTTCGCTCCATTGTAGTAGCTCAAGGCGATTCCTGGACACATCCAGTCGCTTGACAGCTGATGCCTGTGGCAGAGCATCCGCCAAACTTGCTAAACAAAGTCATTATAAATACCTACGCAAACTAATTAAACCCCTTTTTCAAGACATAATTACTTACTTAGGCGATTTTCCGATAGGTCGACCCGTTTCAATAGCGGGCACTTCACCAGCGAATCATGATACAGGTGTGAGATGTGGTTATGTGACAGATTGAGAGAGATCAGATGTGCACAGTCCGAAAACACGTATGGGCTGATCTGAAACAACAAATCCCTTTTCCCAGTTGCATTTCTGGACAAGACGAACCTTGGTCTAATCGCGCTTCTGACCAGTTGCAACCTAATCAAATTTGCGTTCTTTTTGCGCAAAAACTCACCGAAGACAACTCGTTATGGTTGAGGTCGATATTGTGGAGATGTGAAATTTTGTTGAAAACGAACTGAGGTAATTTCCTGTAAAAAAAACAATATTAGTCCCATATCTGGAAGGATCTAAACTGTATATTTCCATTCTCTCCGATTAATCCACGCGTTTTCCCTAGGGAACAAACGAAATCTCAAAAGTTATTGACAGATGCCATAAGTCTGCTAACGCCAGCGACATGTTGCATGACTGATTTATCTGGGACGAAAGAACGTTTTTACAACAAAAAACTCACTTAATTTTATTGTAACTGAGATCAATCCTCTTCAACTTGAATAGACGAGCGATCGCAATGGGAACTTCCGTTAGACGGTTATGCGATAGGTCAAGTTCACCTTTAAAAAGAGAATCTCGTCGTAAATACTCAATTGTCGAAATTCTTACAGTTTGAAGTAATTCGTAAAAAAAGCTTAAATTTTCCGATCTTTTAAATTTCGTCGAATTTGGGCGAATTCAGAGAGAAAATTAATCACGAGAAAACAGTGTGATACAGACTTCTCATGAGGAAAACACTTAAATTTGGAAACTTCCCAAACACTAAAAACCACCTTCTCAAAGATTTGGGTCCTGTTTGGGTAGGACTTCCTTAATGGTCGCCCTCATTAGATAATAAGGACTAATCACCTCACTTATTCTAGAGAAAAGGAAAGTAGAATTTATGGAAAACTCGTACAAAAGGAAAGCAGCCCCCTCATGTTCCTTACAATTTGAAAGCATTATTAAGAGGTATGAATTGAACGCATCATTACCAATAGCTAAATCCGCAAACACAGCTGGCTCCAACATCTCAATCGAGTTATTTGCAAGACCAACAGATGATAACTCATGGAGACCAGCGAATACGTCATCTCGAAGCCGTTCAAGTCGATTTGAGATCAGATTCAACTGGAATTACCACCATTAGCTCTCCTTCATCACCTCACTGCACATTCAATGATCCGCCATGCAAACTCTGTCAGATGAGGGCGAAACCGTCAATCGAACGGCCATGTGTTTGTTCGTTGTCACTCAACACGGTGTGGTCAAGCGATTATGCAATGCTCTGTTATGAGGTTCGATGGACGGCCGCGAGGACAAAACGCAAACATTCCCATGAGAGCTGCGACGTACTTCAACTCCGTGTGCTTGAGAATTACTTGTAGTGCAGCCTATGACCTTGTGGTTATTCATTATCCAACACTCCATCCCTTATGAACGGTCTAATAGAGGTGTCAGAATAATTTTCCCTCCTCCAACCTTCTCAATGACATATTTCGCGCTAATTACAGGTTTTCGCTGCAGGAGACTGGCAACTTGACCTGCACAGACTCAGTGTCCATTTCTATTGTACACACGCGATGAGCCGGGAACGAAACAATACCAGTACCTACTAAGAGTCAAGAAGGTCACATCTTCCCACAACTACGCAAAGAACAATGGCAAACAAATAAATTCGCGTGCCTGTAAATACACAAGTAAATATGTGGGTTCGCCATCATTTGGAGTATGGGTAGAGCTTTAATGGGGGTAAAGGACGGACGCAAATTATGCAGGTTCAGAGCGTACCCATCTTAAATCGGGGTCGACCTTGAAAGGAGTCTTCAGAAGTCAATATACTCCCCTACGGATTAGTTTTCACACCATCCAAAGTTAGGTGTAAATATCTAAAAACAGCTTGACCGTAACACTTACAGTACTGTCATTCTCGATAATCGAAAACCGGAAACAAATGAAGGCTCTTTTTTGATTTTTTTGATGGGAAGTAGATGGAGTAGGAATGCTAGCAATACCTGCTTATAAGGGTAAGCAAGAATATTTCAGTTTAACCTACCCGGGAATGACCTAAAATGTTTAATGCACTGTTCAGGGGTTCCTATAACTCACTTGAAACCTTCCAATTTTGGTTTATATCCTGAAATAAATGATATTGAAGGGACAGCATATGACAAGGACATTCGTAACCTCTTCACGGTTCATAAGAAAACGAACGCATACCCATTCGACGCATTCATCTTGCCCTTAAACGGCAACTGTTCACTATTCACGCGAAGTACATTGTTGACACCGTCGCTCAAGGACAAACCGCACTCGAACCCCACGTAATATATGCAACTGACACCGAACCGCCCAAGTATACACTCACACTCACACTCGGATAAAAGGCCGTAAAGAATCCGCGAACAGTCCCTCATAAATGTGCGTGTGCGTAAACACTGAGAACACTCGGAAAAACAATCTGAACAACAAACCGTTTGTAGTCGAGTAAAATTCATCAGCTCGAACGGCTTCAAATCGGCAATCATGTTCTTTTCAAGGTGAATATGTACCATTGTTGCGGTTGAGTTTTGGAACAATCGTGAAGGGAACACCTTGATACGGTTGCCCGAGAAATCAACAAATTCCAGCACTTTCGAGACTGAAACAGTGAAGGCATCAGCAGGTTTTGTCTACCATCGCTGTAACTAGACCCCTTAATGAGTGAACTTACCAAGCACAGGTGAAGAGCTTTCATCAATGGAGTTGTGGGACATATTAAAGGACACAAGATGTTTCAGGGATGCCACTGACGGAGGAATAGCCGTCAACTGGTTTGAAGCCAGATTAATATGAATTAGGGTTTCTGAAAAAGAAATATTCAGGGTCGAGAAGTTACTCATTCCACATATACTAATGGTTTCCAACAATACTTGTCAGGCCGGTATGTTCCTGGCTTTTCTACAAGTAAAATTACGATCTTTCAAGGTACCTGGAAGGTTTTCAACATCCTCTAAGAAGTTGTTGTTTAGCTCCAGCTGCTGCAGTAGCGGACATTTCAGCAATGACTCCTTTTCTATGGACGATAGGTGATTATTCGACAGAGAAAGTTGTCGAACCGATGGCAGCACGGCTAGCTCAGACCCGAGTCTCTCCAACCGATTGTGTGAGAAATCAACAATGATAAGCTGATTCGCCACACAAGAAGCATCGGTAAAGGGGAGATTTGAGATCCAGTTTGATGATATGTTCAAGACCTGAAATATCACAGCTGATTGGCAAATTGGGAGTCATTGTTAACAACCATAAGGGACATCATTTTAGTGTTGTGGTACACGATACTGAGAGCAGTTAGCTAATTAGTGACAGCGGTAGCGGTCCGATGAAAGCAAAGTAATGCGGATAATTAGCGATGCTATAGAGCATCATGCTCGCATCAGCGGTCAGCATCCCGTGTTTACCGTCAGGAGTTCAGCTCAGAAGCCTCAAAACGCCAATCCGGGTGTGTCAAACGATGCGAGCTAATGCTAATCTCCACCTGCTCCATTATCGACATGATCTGGATGCAACGTCAAGGTAGGGATTGTCAACCTTAAGATGCTTTTCTGTGAAGGATCGGTTGCCATAGCGAGCTGCAACTTCTTCTCCTTCTGGGACCATCCGTTGTCAGCAGGGACATGATCATTTCCGTGCTGCAGCTGCTCCAGCTCATAAGAGGATATACGCTATTCCACAGCAAAACCTCATACCAATAAAATCGCCAATCTACGGGAAATCTGACCCACCGACAAAAAACGGTCTGGTTGTGTCACTGATCCATCATTCTAGATCTGTCTACTCTGCATATCATTAGAATCTCCCCTGTGGCTATAAGCTGACGCAGATTGCCGAGCCACCTGCTGATCTAACGTGTACGCCCGAAATCTCGGACATTTCATGATTCATCATGGCTACGGGGAACCAGATGGCGGCCCCCGGCATATTGTATAAGCACAAAATGAAGTGATCCACGCGGCTAATAAACAGCATAATTACGTATCGATTGTGCACCACTCAAATAAAGATGAATACGAAATGTCAGCTGTCAGCGACAACAACTTGCAAGTAACTAGAAATCGAGAGAAACCTAGGAAGTTAGCTTGAACAGGACATACCTGTAGATTCTTCAGGTTGCAAAGCAGCTTCTCTGGCAGATGGAGTAAATGAGAACTAGTAATACTGAGTTTTTCCAACCGTTTTAGTGGCTCTACCGTCTCATCTCGTATCACGAAAGGCTTGTCTATGAAGGCCATCTGAAAGATTTGGGAATTTCTAACAAGAATATCCAGGGATCCCGAAGCAGAACCTAACCTCATGAAGATGCAACGACCTCAAATTGGTCAATGGTGACAACAGAGCGGCGGAAAGTTCGCTTGATCTGCATGCCTGAAAAAAATAGATATGATATGGCTCATAAAGGGCTTTACCATGTGTCATGCCCTCCCCAGACGTTGCCACATAATTGTTCTCGAGACAGGATTGAGACGTTAATAACGCGGTAAAAACGCTGCTCTTAAGCTGTCACGTCCTAGGCAATATTCACCAAGGGACCGGATCTCAATCTTACTGATCTTATAATGACAGCACGTCACGGAAAACAGCTAGACTCAAACGATTCGAAGCTAGGGCAAGCAAAGAGCGCTCTCTGTCATACCAGTTCAGAATACTTTTCTCAATCTCACTTTTTTTCTTTTCAAAAAGTTGACGAATAAGAACCTTCAGCTCGGGCTGTTCCTATAGTTCACCCCGTTTAACTTCTCTGAACGAGGTTATCTCCCTAAAATGACGGCAATGAAGGCAGTGTCACCGAATCTGTTCAGGAACCCCGAAAAGCAACATGAACCTCCAATAAACAAGTTGTTTACGGTGTTCATTTAGCTTCATGGACATATTTTTTGCTGAGGATACTCGCACATCTCACATTTCAATTTCCATTTGAGCCATCCTAACTTTCCCTTACTGATCTTTTTCACAAAGAAACTGCTTTTCGGGAACGGGATCATTGGAAGAAAGTTGAGCCCGGCCATCGAAAAGCAACTTTGAAGTACTCATAAAAGAGTGGAGCTGAGCATGCATTGCAGTATACTTTCGAGAGATATTTTACCACCATTAGGCCTCTGTTGGCCAGACCATTTCGCGCAATTTACAAACTAAAGGACATGAATGGGTTGTAAAATGCGCATAGTCTGCCAGAATGGCAACAACAGGGGAGTGTGGGTGTGATTTACGGCGCTGGAAGATGGTCAGCACATGCGAGCAAAATAGGTATCCGTACTATTTCCAGCCATTCGTCAAACAATTGGCACCATAAAAATTGGGATATCGAAATTTTGCGAAAAACCCTCGTATTAACGAAAACCAAGCACCGGAGCCTACACATGATCCTTACGAGGGGGATTTTCAAGGGAACCGTTAAGCTCAGCACTAAAGGCAAAAACAGGATGTCATGTGTTCCGAGTTCGAGTGGTGGCACACGGCCTTCCACACAAAACGGTAATCCTGTATTGTGTAGACCAAATGGTCTGTTCCCACCTCGACCGATACGATTGCGCAACAAGATGCCTATCTCATCCCCTACATATGCTCGGACATCGTAAAACGAATTGTGGCCAAATAATATAATTGTTCGCCTTCAAATTATAGCCATAATCGGGCATCAATCCGTATATAATCCCTATGAAAAGAACGAATTGAAACGATTGAAAAATGAATATAATTGGATACCTCAATGGACAGATGTTGCAAGCCTCCGACAGCGTGGAATAAACCATCGGGTAACGAAAAACTGTCTTCACAAACAATTTGAATAGATCGCATAGAAGATGAATTTGAAAAGTAGAAGTCGGGTGGTAGTGAAGACCATCGGCACAAATAGGAGAATGAAGATTCTATTAATGGATCCGGGAGACAATCACAACTGAAAAAATGCTTGTGAAATTCTAGTGCAGGAAAAAGATTAAGAAAAATAAGGTTCACAAAGACCACAGGTTTTCAAATGTATTAATTACTTCAGGGAAAAATCTTTCCAGGATTGTGCGAAAAAAAATTTTCTAATAACCCAATTCGAGCTTTAAATGGCTCTAAGCCTTGGAAAGAATTTGATTAAGCATTCCAAAGGGCATTTCTTTTAGTTTTATTTCAGAACAGCCAACCAAGAAGACTTGGTCCTGTGAAGATTTTGTCAAATACTATAGTGAAAAGAGAGAATGCGGAAAAAAACGAACCTGTTGGGACAGTTTTGAAAGGATTCTGTTAGTAGAGCTATACCAAGTATTCCAGCTATGCTTAACCACATAATGTTATACTATTAGTCGCATTTATTGTTTCTGAAAACCAGATATTTGGCAAATATTCTATCGTATTAGCCAAGAAAGCATAACGAGTACGTAAAGACGACAAAATCACGATGAGGCGAATGTGACGAATGTGTGACGATAATAGCACAAAGGAATGCGAGATTCTGCCGTTGGCAACCCATCAGGGTCTATTGAGCGGGTGTGGGAGAAATCACTTAATAAGAACGATAGAGACACTTAGGCGTTACAAAAGGTAATGGGTCAAGTGAAGCTTTTGAAGAACCGACAATGAGCCATCGACAGAACATCAGTAGATGAGAGAATGGACACCATACATACTCCTAGTAATCTTAAGTAATTTCTATCACAAGCCGCTCTCCCTCGAGTGATTACTATTTACTGGCTATGGCAGCTTCTCTATATCGAATTCAGTAGGAATATATTAATCAGAAGAGCATTGAAAGACCCTCTGAACGAAGAAAAAACCTAACAAATAGATGAAACATGGTTCCAAAAATAGGAGTATGACAGAGGAAGACGGAATGACTCAAAAATAACGTTTTTCTATCGATTTCAGAGATAATTACAACAAAACTGTGCAGTAAACGTTACCATAACAACTAACGCTGGAGGATGAACTAATGAGTGAGTAAAACGATTATCTATTCTCTCTATTATTACTCGAAATACTACGTTAACGTATACAGCTTCTCGCAACTCTATTTCAAAGCAAAAATTCCAACTTCAGAACGTCTGAACATCAGTATCTAGATAACTCGCCAGAAACCCAAAAAAAAAACTTATCTTGAAGATACCCACAGTATCCCATGGGGTGAATGTCTCGAAGGATTCATTAAAACAAGCCGAAATAGACTATTGGAAAGCAATAAAGGGTTCCAGTAATTCGAAAATGATGACTCCGAATAGAAAAAGGTCGTTGTACTTGTCATTTTTCAAAGACATATGTTGCATACTGACTACGAACGGAACCAATAGACCTTTGTGTAATTCATTAGCCCCAAAAGTACAAGCTCATGCTCATAGGCAATATTCTGAGCCGATAAAAATTAAGGACATCCGAACATGATGGAATTAAATATGCGCATTATAATTTCCCGTATACCCGAAGATTCCACAGAAAGTAGCGGTATCGTTTTTCATTTTCTACATCGACCCAAGTCTCCCGACAAGGGACCCTGGTTGACCCATTTCGGACCTTACGGCTCCGGTCCCTTGGCTTAGGAACGAGCGATTATTCCTATATGGATATAAACAATGACGGCGACGTAGAAATTCAAAAATTAAACCTCTCAAATCTATGGAATTTCAGGGTATTTCATATTGAATCAAATTTTCAATTCCGCAACTCCATAAAAACAGGAAATGAAAAGAAAAGAAAATAGAAAAGCGAATAAGAAAACTAAAATGCCTTTAGATTTACTCATTTAGAAAGCCATGATGCAACCCAGGCCCTCTTTCCATCAGGCTATAAAAGACCAATCTTTTCGAAAATCGTCAGAAAATGGCCAGGGAACGGAAGCTGACAAAGCATGCCTCGTACGGGGACAGTTAGGCAGAGATTAGTGTTCGATAAGCAACGAATGATGTGATATTTGATACACGATGAGCAAATACAACTGCTCTGTACTGTCAAGAACACACTTGTATCGAACTGATTGACGTACTATACAAATAATGATAAGTATTTCTGTAAATAAAACAAAGAAGATGCTGCACCTAATAGAAGGGAAACACCAATAATTGAAGTCAACATCGAAAAGAGCCCAAAAAACTGAACAAATGGCTCTCTAACCATTGGGATGGCACCGAAAAAATTGTGAATTTTCAGCAAATATAATTACCTATACAAAAAGATTGGAATTTTGAGCAAATATAATTACCTATACAAACAGTGATAAGTATTTCTGTAAATAAGAAAGAAGATGGTTTTTCCATGAAAAAAAGAAGTATTAAGTTAGGATCCGACAACAAAATATTCGCGTACCTGGTCTATAAACAACTCTGGAAAGCAGGTAGCTTACCTTTAATGCAAGAAGTTGAAGATCCTGGAAAAATCGCTACTTACTTCGTTACAGCTACTTAGTTGTCAGTCTAACTAGAAGAGGAACATCCCCAATTCAACAAGAAACACAACAAAAGGACAAAACTTTTACGACTATTGCTGAGCATTGCTGATTCTAGCGTTGAAGCTCACATTTTAATAAAAAATGACCTGCCCTTTTGGCTACAACTACCCCTTTCCCTCATGAATTCGGAAAAATGAGCCTCACGCGAGAGGGGATGGGTGCAGACTACTAGGAAGTACATAGTATTTGTACTAGTAGTTGAGCGTGAATAAGCGTATTTGCATACAAAAGAGCTCCTATATATTCTGACCACCAAGTATGGGGATTTCCACGCATAAACCCTCGAGATTGACCCCCCACATGGGAGATAATCCCAAAGCAACCTTGAGGTAATGGAAATCAGCAAGGAGACCATCTAGAATGGCCATATGAGAATTGTAATAATTGCAGAGTATAAATGGAAATGGGATAGGGCTATCGATGATGTACCCACAACATGTGGGCGACAGCCGGTAAAGAATTCGGTAACCATACAATTATCGTTGTGGCACAGGGACAGGGCGAACGGCGAGTTCGCACTTCCATGAGGGGCGTGGCCCTGAGAGGGAGGCGGTCCACCCCCCACCCATCCATCGGGTGCATGGCCTAGGTGTGTGTCACCCATCAGCAGCACCATGGCCTAGGTGACCGACGAATACATGCGTAATGGCCTTTGTAGGAGTGTTCATCAGTAATGGGCAATAGCCCTCATTAGTATAAAATAAATGGGTAAAATACAAAGCAATTGGTGTTTACTGAGGTAACGAATAGATGCCGTAAACAACAACAAGCGCCCACAATTTTTACTTCAAAAATTTATTTTGCAAAATG